ATTCCATTTGTCATATTGCATCATATTGTATGTATTGGTAAATCTGGATTACAGTGGTCATATTGCATCACATCTACTTACAGAACACAGTACATGAGAGTGATAAATTGAAGCCTCTTGGATTAAAAAGTATTGTATAAATATGTTAGCTTTCCATTTAAAACTAGTGGAGTTTTCCTGTTTGCTTGATTTCTTGCCAAGTACTACCAAGGATATCACATTTGTAGCCTATGGTACATCGCATTTGTTCTCTGTACATTCTTGTCAAACCAAGTGACCCAGGTGACCCAGGTGACTTTGGCTTTCTTCCACTCAGTTGTAGAGCCATGGTTGCATACTGTATACAACCTCTATTTTCTACTGAGGGTGAGGATCACTCAAAATTACTACAAAACACATGGTGCAATGAAGAAACATGCAGTGTGTTGGTACTGTATACAAAATTAACAGAAATTTGAATGAGCCAAAACGAATTCTATGTTTTAATGTATTTTATTTACTTGCTGTGTATCTGCTCAAAGGAAATGTTCTTTGATTTGTAAGGCTTTATAGGTGCTGTACTGCTTCCCATTACATTTCTTTAAAAAAATAGTATTTTGTATAAATAGCAAGCTCTGTGTCATTTCATTTGTGTCATTTCAAGAATGGGCTATGCTTAACATGTACAATGTATAGCCTGTGTACTTGTTTATACTAAATTATAACACCAAAGTAGATGGGTTATTTTAGTTAACTCAATAGAAGTTTCATGTCAGGTTATGAAAATACTAATTGACACAAATTAGCACATCTGTGCATCTGGTCTCGGTCTTGACTTGGACTTGGCCATGTGTGGTGTTGGTCTTGTCTCAGATTCCATTGGCTATGGTCTTGGTCTTGACTTGGTCTCGCTTAAGGTGGTCTTGAACCCAACACTAGTTGATAGGTTTACAGATAAACTGTGGCATCACTATCTTTGGCAGGAATGCTGGGTTTGGCAACAAATGTGTAATACACAATTCGACAAATCATCTGGCCATAGTGATGGCCTGGAAGAAAGCTGTCTTACACGAAAGCCACTTTATGTTTGCATTTTCCATTGGTTCATATAGCAAGGTTCACAAACTGCTCAGCACCAAGTCCAGATCTGTTCGATCACTGATTTGCCTGAGGTTGGAGACCTTTAAGAAAAGTTTTAACAAGTCAAGTTTATTTATCATTTGGACAGTATGCCAGGACATATGTACATTGCAATGCTTGTGGCAAGGGTAGAGTAAGCTGCTCACATAACAGAACATGATACACATGCACTCAGATCAAGAACATAGACAATAACAACGTACAACATATGCTACAACGTAGTGAGAAAGAAAGGAAAATACAGCAGAGATTATTGCACTAAAGTTGTGTAAAGTGATCAGGTGTCAAGTGTCCAAGTGTAAAGAATACTCCCCAGCCTGAGTAGGGCAGTGAGGGTAGGTTTCAGAGGGGGTAAAGCTTGCAATACGAGCACACACACATACACATGCTGAGGAGCATGAACTTGAACTTGATGGAGTGAAAGCTGAGAGTCTGTGACGGACCTTTTCTGTTGATCTGTCCTTTTTTGTTGAGTTTTTGAAAGTTCAAAGGAAGTCTTATAGCTGGGTAGGTATTATTCACCTCAAAGTGAGCAGAGTACTTATTGAGCTCATCTGCTAGTGAGGTGGGTATGCCTACATCACTGTTTTCCTTTCTTTGTAGTCTCTTATTGAGCGCAGGCCACTCCACATACACTTGGAACATCATTGGTGTACTTGCTGATGTATGCTGTAACAGGATCTGTGTAGTCATTTACATTCCCATCTGCTGCATTCGGGAACAACTGCAGCACTGGTTGCATAGTCTGTTTTACAGTGACAGCAATGGAAAGACCTACAGTGGTAAATTTGGCCATGTGCCATGGCCTAGTAGGTAAGCAACTCTCAAATATAGAACAAAAATATAAAGATCTATAAAGAAAGTTCATCTACCCATTTCCGTTGCTTGTTAGCACTTCAGCATTGCTTATGATTTTTGTGTTGTTATGTACCTGCAAACCTTTTAGTGGTTCCTGAAAATGTTCATCTCGAAGACATTGACATGCTGAAATCATGCTTTACTGTTCCATTTTCTTTTCTCTTTCTTTTTACTTTCAGGTTTTTCATCTAATTTTTGCATCTAATTCTCTTAAAACTGCAATTTTAGTCAATAGACTGTCAGAAATTAATTGAGCATCCATCATAAGTCATCTTAATTGTAGTGTATCATGTAGTGTATAAAACTTTCCTATGGTAATTCCTTATTAATCCTACAATTTTCAGTTTTATGTGATCTCATGTTTAAAATGAACATGATTTTTGCTTGAATCAGTAGTATTGTTTGAATAATTCATCAGTCTTGCATAAGGTTCCACAGTGATCAAATACAGTATTTATGTAGCAGCAGTTTGTCCAAGGGTTTCATAAAATGTCAACAATTGCATAATATATTAAAATTAAGGATTTTTTCCTGTGTCTTATTTGAAATATCATATACAAATAAAAAAAAAACATGGATGCCCAAGTGGCCATACTTTTCTTACAGTTAATGTTAAATCAAACTCTCACTTTATTCTCACTTAATAAAACAGCAATAATTTTTGCATGTAATTATATTGCTTTTACTGCAGTCACATGGTCTAGTACTTTGCTGTAACCTATTTGCATATTTATTCATAGGACAATTTACACTGGCTGTAGAGTGGAAAACCTAGTTTACTCCTAAGCATAGACACCACAGACGCCTCTGTCACTGGCTGGGGAGCGGTGTGATGAAACAGAGGTGCAGGGGGCATGTGGGACCACAATGTGAGATCAAACATATAAACCTACTAGAACTAAGGGCAGTCTGGCTAGCCCTCAAGTTCTTTCTACCACTGCTGAGACACCACAATGTCCTAATCTGCTCAGTCAACATGGTGATGGTCAGGTACAGTCATGAGAAAAAGAAAGTACACCCTCCTTCAATTCTATGTTTTTATCTATCAGGGCCTAAATCACAATTGTGTGGTCCTTACCAACTTCTATAAACAAATAAACTCAGGTGACAACAACAACAACAAAAACTCACAACAGGTTTCTATATGTAGTAATTTTTTCCCAAAAAGTAAACCAACATTCGCCATCACCCTCCCTATCCTGTCTAAAATCAGCTATCAATATTTCTCTTCCACTCGGCAAAACCTCCATTCTATCTCCCCTTCCTGCATAGCTTCCTTCAGCTTATTATCCCTTCCAGACTCTAACTCATTTTCCTCCCGACCATTGGAGTTAGCCACAGACAATTTCCTCTCTTCACTTTCCTCATCCATGGACCTCCTCTGCCCTCTACCTTCGAAACACAGGAAGAGTTCTTGCCCTGTTCCTTGGCTATCAGATGAAGCGACTTCTGCTAAGACTGCCTTCTACAAGGAAAAGCTGGAAACTTCTGCACAAGATCCTCGTAAGCTCCACAACATCTTAATTCAACATCAACTACTTAATCTGCCGGCTCCTCCTGCTCCATACTCCCTAAGTGCTGAATACTTTGCCACCTTTTATGATGGAAGATTGAAAAAATCAGCAAGACCTTCACTCCTACCCCAACTCCTACACTACACATTCAGGATTCCCCTTCTCTTTCACTGGTGCTTCTTTCCAATCTATCAAAAGAAGAGATGCTGCAAGTCATCTTTTCCTGCAAGTCATCTTGTCCAGAGTGTGGAGGAAGACTTGGGAGGCAGGCAGAGCTCCGGGCTCAATCATCTAACACTGCTGAACTGGTCCCACCATCTCTCAGGATACAAGGAAGGTATGCATAAAGACTCTTCTCTTTTCTGCTACCTAGGTGGTGGAATAACCTCCCCCTAGATGTCCGAACAGCTGAGTCACTGGCAGTCTTCAAACGATGTCTAAAGACCTACCTCTTCCTGAAGTACTTAAAATATCACTTTAATTTAAAAAATTGGGTTGTCTGTGTGCTTTTCTTACTATGTTACCTCCCCAACAGAGTTATTAGACTGAGAGTATTCTTAGTCCATGACCTAGTGAAACAGTGTCAGGATCTATTTATTGATAGAGACTTCAAAGCACTTCAAAGTAAGTCGCTCTGGATAAGGGTGTCTGCCAAATGCCATAAATGCCAACGTAACATTCAGAAACCAGGTGGGAAAAAAGAAGTACACCCTTCCTGCTTCCACAATTGTTAAGAGAGTAATTAGCAGCCAGGTATTACTAATGAAATACTACAATTAACTAAGATTAGTTAATCAAGTGTGACTACCTCTATAAAAGCAGTTCTGGAGCACTCAGATGATCCACCTGATCTCTGGTCAAACTGATTCACCAGAGGCTATGGCTGGACCTTCAGGGTGATTTCTGCTGAAAACTGTACATACAGCATCATAAGCCTTCATGTGCAATCCCCAGAGAAGCAGATGCTAGACTTTCAGCATGATTTCTGCCGAACTGTGTCACACTGAGGACTCTCTCTCTTTGAGAAACTCTATCGATGCCATGGCTGACTACACTGAAGTTGCTCCATGGATCAGGACCAACTGAAGAGACACCATCAGAATGTAAATATAAAGTGTCTCTATGCACCTTCTTTAATGTTGGAATGATAGTTTAGCTACAATTGGTACATTAAGTAGATCCACTCTGCCCCATTAAATACAGGTTATCAGAAAAGTCATGAACCAATAAGAATATGTTGAGCAAATATGTTGTTCCGAATATGTTGAGCAAAATCCACATAAACATGATACAGCAGCTGAGAAAATGTGTAGAGCATAAAGGTGAACATGTAGAGCATATTTTGTAAATAATAAATACACTCAATAAATGAGTCTCATTGATTCCTTACTTTTCTGACACTCTGTAGAATTATAATTGAATTATATATATATATATATATATATATATATATATATATATATATATATATATATATATATATATATAATTATAATATTTTGAGTTTGGGACCTAGTATGGGGCTCAAACCCACAATCCAGAGATTAAAAGTCTCATGCTTTTCCAACTAAGATAACCAGGCACTATAATTAAAAGTAATAATTTAAATTATTTAATTTAATATTTATAATTTACCTGTCTCACATACCATTCACCTGTGACTAGCCTGTTCATAGCCCCAAGCTATAGAATAGCCTTCCAATTAGTGTTCAGGACTCAGACACCATCTTTATGTCTAGGTTTAAAACCAATTTGTTTAGTCAGGTATATAGAATATTTTTTCTCTTAGGTAAAGGTGGAGATTTGGGGCATTTGTGCGCATAGAGAGTCATGGTAAGCAGGGATGTTTTGATGCTGTTTTCCCCTATCTCTCACTATCACTCAGGATTGTTGACAGCAGAGTGGCAGGATTCTATATGTTCCAAGGTGGGCTCATGGCTTTGTTACATTCTAGCTCTCCCTTAAAGTTTTTTTGTTCATGGCCCCATGTGGACATCCTTAAGATTGCACTTACCAAAAACAGTACCCATTCATCAGTGGATAATTTCACTTAGATACTCTAGACTTGTACCTAAAAAGACCCTGATGCTCATACTGAACATCCTTTCAGCATACTCAGTACTGTTTGACTATATAGTATTGTAACAATTCTCATCGGTTTGGCAATGAGGAAATGGGAGGCTGGCTGGGGACAACTCAAACAGCTTTTTATTTTTAGTCTAATACTTTTGCTTTTCAGCAATTATCTCTCTCTGCACACATACACGCACACCCACGGCTCTGGGCTGCTCAGCTCTCTCTCTCTTACCTGTTACGGGGATCCTGAAGGCACAAAGAGACACATATAAGTAAACTTGGGGTAATAAGACACAAGTGAGAATCATCACGCGTTACTTGCCAGTTCGACCCGCCTCCTGTCCTTCCACAGCCAACGCTCGACCATGCCCCCGCTGCCACAAGTACATAATTCTGGAAGGGTAATGACTTATGATCCCACTATCTGGTGTCATCCATAATACATTGGAATCCCTTTTGAGTCTGGTCATCTCAGGGAGTTTTTTTTTACCAATTACTGAAAGTGAGTGTTTCAACTGTGGGAAAAACTGCCTCGTTGTCCTCTTGTCTTAGTGGATCTTGGCAGCCATGTAGTTTTAGGTAGTTGTGAAGTTTAGCTGCTACAATAAAGATAATTCAGCATTTTCTTGGCTAGAAATGCAGTATTTTCTGAAGACATCGAAAGCGACTCCTCCAAACACCAAACATGCTCTCTGCTAGACCCCTGTTGCAAATGTGAGGTGGTACCTGGTTGTAGTATTGTTGCTCAGTATAGTATGATCAAAAAGTTCTTCTTCCGCTCTCTCACGACCAAAGTCCCATCGTGTTCTCTTCTTTGAGCATACAGAAATGAGTTTAGGAAAATCCTTGAATACTTGAAAATACAGTCACAACCATAAATATTTGGACATTGACAAAGTTATTGCTATTTTAGCTGTCTAAAATAACAGTACATTGGAGTTGAAATTAAATAATAATATGAGATATGAGGTATGATAATACGACAGTGAAGGGGAAGGTAATGAATCGATGCCTGCCCCTATGGATTAGTGTGGGGATCTGTGTTTTCTTGTTGGTGGTTACCTGCACTGATAATCAGTGTGGGGATCATGTGATCTGCATTGTGTGGCTGCTTGTCTTGGGTCACATGAGGCATGTCACATGACATATTAGGAGATTATAAAGTTTGGCTTGTGGAGTTTACACTCTCTTGCTGCTGCCATTTGCCACTGCCATTTGCCACTGCAACTAGACTCCCGTCATACAGGTAATGGAGTGATTAGACTGTGTTTTAATCGATATAGGTACTGAATTCTCATGTTCTGTTTTAAATTTATCAGGGTGACTGCTAGAACAATGTGTTCCACTCTTCATGAAGGACACAGGTGACTGTGTGGCATTTGAAGGACTTGTGACCTCCTATTGAGTTGCTGGGCTGCAGACACTCTGGTAGTTTGTCTTACGTGATTTCGTTTTTTAAATTGTTTTATATTGGTATTTAAAATGTGTTGATTATGTACTTGTATTTGTAGCACTGGAGTGCCCCATTTTATCTTCCTGGGTTATTGTGCTGCGGGGAGTATTGAACACTCTTGCAAAGTAGGCTAATACTTCTTGTATATGTTGGTTTTATGTGTGCTGGTGAATGAAATTGGGGATTAA